AATGTAATAATAATAATTATTATTATTATAATCAAATAAAAATTATTTCACCAATCATTGCATGCGATGTAGCACGTATAAGAAACGGCTCCAAGGCCAATCATTGCATACATATAGTGTGTTTGTATATATATATATATATATATATATATATATATATATATCATCTGGATGTATGATTGCTCGAGACATGACAGATTTAGATTAAAAGAATGATCCGATGGTACTCTTTATAATCGCTTCAGCTCAGCACAAGGACGACATTACTTTAATAGACTTAACCCCACGAGTTAGGTTGAACTCAAGACTAGCTTGGATCACCCATTTTTTAATTTTTTTTTTTTTTAAGGGTATGGAATCACATTTCATGATGCAACTAATCGAATCTATACGTACGTATATATATTTTCCCATTAGGGCCACACCTCTTATTACCAATATTTGTGACTTGTGTGTATGTACCTATTTATATAGGTCCATTTGATAAGAGTTGCAAACAAAACTAAAGTATATTTTTATTAGGAGTACACTAGTCTTAACATGATCAATTTTTACATAATTTTACCGTTGGATTTGGATTTGGATTTGGTTGAGAAAACATTAAGCTTCAATCTTGCATTTAAAAGTACGTGAAAAAATCTCTTAGATCACAATTTGTTCGACCTTCCGAAAACATAAATAAATAAAAATACTATTAGAACACAACATTTGCTGGTCAAAAAGAAAATATATATTTTCCTCCCTAGTCTTTTATGTGGCAATTTTTGGTTGATTAATTTGTAGGAACTCTCTCACTCATAGACCATGTTAGTGTGCTTATCTGTTTTTAAGGACTCTCATCTAGGGGACCATTACGGCATTTACACAATTGTTTTTAGAGGCTCGTAGTATGCTGTATCAGTGCAAAAATTCAACATGGCATGTATTTAATTTAATAATCTCAAATATAATTTATATTTCCTATCAATCAATGAGTATATTATAGTTTGATATTCAATCTCGTGTGGACGTTATAAATAGGATTGAGCTAGCTTGAAAGCTTTCATACATTTATATATATATATATACATATAAACCCGCACACCCACATATATATACAATCTGAATGAATCAGAATGTATGATATGAATTCCTAATTTTGTATTAGAAGGTGAAATTTGTATAACCCTAATTTCTTTCCCTAGTCCATCATGTCTCCTTTTAACAAAGAAAAGGATGGGTATGAGATGATATGCAGATAAACGGAGAAATGTACAATACCTTACGAGTATTCACAGTGTAGTACGAGAAATTATTAGATGGTCTTGGTTCGTTTGACACTTAATGGACTAATCCAATAAAAAAATTAATCTTAAGGATTTTTTTTATTTTTTATAGTAATAAATTAATACACTTTTGTGAAATCATTTTTTCAATTCGAAAGTCTGAACTGATTCATCAAATGTTAATGGTCCAAACCATCTAATAATATTTTTTTTTTCATATCAAACCCAAGTAATGCAGTCATACTTTCTCGATCTGACCATTAATTAATAGGGTAAAGTACATAGACACCCCCTGAAGTTTGGACAAAGGACAAGCAGAGGAAAGTTGGCCTGTTTTTGGACAAACACACCCCCTTGTGAAATTTGCCCTCCAAACAGAGCCTTAAATCATGTGAAAAGTCCACTTTACCCTTCACTATTTTATTAATTTTAATTATAAAATATTAAAAACATAAATGACCAAATTACCCTTTTCATCTCTCTCTATATATACGTGTGTGTATATATATATATATATATATATATACACCAACAATCCTTCACCACCGCCCCCAATCTCCATAATCACCAACCCCCAACCTCCATAATCACCACCCCTTAAAGAAGACGCCAAATAGGAGCTCTGCCACCACCACCACCTCCTCGAACTCGCCGGAGCTCAGCCTCGATTCGGGTGACCAACTCAGCCTCGGACAAGTCGGGTTTGACCGGGATTGACAGAGACGTTCCCCACGCTAGCGTCTTTGATTCTTGACAACGGCAGAGAGTTGATTTTGAGCCTGGCATACAGCGAAGATTTGAGGATTAGATCGGTGCCGCCGCCGCCACCACCACCCTCTTCCCCTCTCTCTCTATACACACGCGCGCGCGCGCACACATATATATCACCCATCTGCACACATCACCATCCCCAGTTCTCATCTGCGCACGGAAAGGGCTCTAATCAGACAACAGAGGCGATGGCCACTTCAGCCTCCTCGGTCTTGCAGGTGACGATCGCCGGACTATGTTTAACCTTGTCGTCATCGGAACTTGGTCCTCGCCGAATTGTTTCTGCTCGTCGGTCTCTTGTTACTCGGTTTCTAAACCTCGCCACATTGTTCAGTCCATGGCCGCATTATCATCGAAGCTTGGTCCTCGCCGATAATTTCAGGGTTTCGCCGATGCTTTTGGGTTTCGCCACCACCATCGCAGTCATCGCCGCCACCACCACTGTCGCAGCCCTCACCACAATCTCTCTCCTATCTTTTTCCTCTCTCCTCTTCACCTCATCTCTTCAACTATGGCCGCCCCTCTCTTCCCCCTCTCTACACCCACCATCGCAGTCACAAACCACCATCCATTTGATCTCCCTTCTCTCTCCTCTGGTGAACTGAATAATACACACAGAGGCGGGTTCGGGTTGGGTTTCGGGTTTGGGTTTAATAAAAGGGTATTTAAGTCAATTAAAGTGTTAATTTTATTTGAAAGGGTAATAAGGTCAATTCACCATCTTTAGGGTCTCTTTGTCCATTTTTAAAACTTGAAGAGGTGTCATTGTCCAAAAATAGGCCAACTTTCCTCTGCTTGTCCTTTCCCCAAACCTCAGGGGGTGTCTTTGTACTTTTCCCTAATTAATAAAAGGGTCATGTTTCTTTTGATTCTCAATAGTTGGGCTTAGGCCAAGCTAGTTTTTTTTAATGGCTTGAAATATGATTCTTGTTTTGTAATAGGCTAAACACCCTTTGTTTGGACTACAAGTCTCTTTCGTTTGTAGATGGTGGTTCCATTCATGGGCCTTTGTAATGTTAATGCTTAGGCCCATCATGTACTATAGTTTGGCAAATGGAATAAAACCCTTTTCTACTTTCAAATTATGACAAATATATATATATATATATCTTTTACAAGTATCAATTTGTCCTTTTTAGTTTAGATATGTATAGTTATCAAGTTTGAAATTTTTTTAAAATATAAAGGACAATGAAGAAAAAATAAGGCTTATTTACTTTAACTTTTCAAAATGAACAACTAATTTGAGATATTTAAAAATGAAATAGTGGACTACTAATATATCAATGAGTATATTATAGTTTGATATTCAATCTTGTGTGGACCTTATAAATAGGATTGAGCTAGCTAGAAAGCTTTCATACATTTATATATATACATATAAACCTGCACAGCCACATATATATATTATTTGAATGAATCAGAATGTATGATATGAATTCCTAATTTTGTATTAGAAGGTGAAATTTGTATAACCCTAAATTCTTCCCCCAGTACGTCATGTCTCCTTTAAACAAAGAAAAGGACGGGTGGGAGATGATATGCAAATAAACGGATAAATGTACAATACCTCAGGATATTCATTGTATAGGACGAAAAATTATTCACCAGTGGTCTAGCGATATCAGACCCCTACTTCTCAAAGAGTAATCAGGAATTCAAACCTTAATGGAGGTCTCGGTTCATTTGACACTTATGGACTATTCATCATTTTCTCGATCAATAAATTTATTTGTAAGTGTGGGTGGTAAGGGGAACAGAATAAAAAAGAGGTTTCGCTTGATTCTCTATAATTGGGCTTGGGCTAAGCCAGTTTTTTGAATTGAAACATGATTCTTGTTTTGTAATAGGCTAAAACACCCTGTTTGGACTACAAGTGTCTTATGTTTGAAGATTGTGCTTCCATTCATGGGCCTTTGTAATGTTAATGCTTAGGCCCATCATGTACATTTATAGTAGGGCAAATTGAATAAAATCTCCTTCTATTTTCAATTTATGGCAAAAAAAACCTCCTATAAAAGAAGTTGACATAAAATCCTTCTAATTATTTAATTTATTGCAAAATAATGTTATTATGATAAAATGTCCCTTAATATAAATTTAAAATAGTTATTTATTTTAATTTAAAATTAAAATTAATACAAATAACTAATTTGGTATAGTGGTGTTAAAAAAAATTTAAATTTTTTTAATGGTGCGTCTAAAAGAAAATGAAAATATTTTGGAATAATTTTTAAATTTTTTTAATTATTTTTATTTTTTCAAAAAAATCTAAAATGAAAATAATTTTAAGACCACCTAAATTTTCTTAAATTTACATTAAAGGGAATTTCATATTATACTTATGAGGGTTTTATGTTAACTTCTTCCTTCGGAGGGGTTTCTTGCCAAAAATTAAAAGTAAAAAAGGGTTTTATGCAATTTGCCCTTTATACTGTATATACTTTGCTTGATTTTCTGAAATAAATAAATAAATCTATGTGTCATTTGTTATTAATATGATATCTAAGCCGATAATTCGACTTGTAAAAAAATATATATATCATATATAAATAAATCTATGTGTCATTTGTTATTAATAATATGATATCTAAGCTGATAATCTGACTTGTATATATATATATATATTGAAGAAATAATATCAATACAGATTGACAAACAATGATATAAAAAAATAAAAAAAGAGAAGGCAAATAGGTTGACTAACAAATGAGTATACAAAAAAAATAAAAATAAAACCTAGATATTTGATTCTTTGTTGAAGAAAAATGCCAACAGGGAAGAAGAAGAAAAATTAATGATAAAATTTTTATAATATGTAAATATTATATATTATAACATTATCTAATATATTTATAGCATGTTATATATTACTATAATGCACATTAGGTATGTTTAGTTAATAGATTATCAAAATCAGATAATTAACAAGTTATCAATCCTAGGTATGTCACTAAATTTGGATCATGTTAAATACAAAAGAGAAAACTTGTATTGTAAATTGATATGTAAGATATGTATACAAGAGGGGTTTATATATAAGGGGTTATGTGTGATAAACAAATAAACTCTGTGTGTATATGATAATTATACATATGGTAATCCTATACAATGTTAAAATCATATATATAGTAATCTTATATAAGGTTAGAATATATTATACCATATAATAATAATATATTCTACAATATATTCTAACAGTCAAGGTGGATTGAATGAATCCATCTTGAGTTTAGAAATGAGATCTTGACAGCAGCATGGCGGAAGCGATTTGGTGAAGATGGATTTTCACCCATGACAAAGATGGAGGCACGATTAACAACTAACATAGCAGGCTGACGTGGCAGTCTGTCGTGGCAGGATGACGTGGCAGTCTGTCGTGGAACTGACGCGGCTGAGCGCGTGGAGGCGCGTGGCTGATGGAAAAAACTAGTTGAACCTGCTGGCAACGCGTGGGAGCTCGTGCGTGGCGTTTTCTCGGCTACTTTTGGCAACGTCAGGAGATTTAAGTGTGATCTTTTGCCTGGTATGTTCAAAATTAGACTTGGCTCTGATACCATGTTAAATATAAAAGAGAGAACTCTATATTGTATATTGATATGTAAGATATGTATACAAGAGGGTTTATATAGAAAGGGTTATGTGTGATAAACAAGTAAATCCTATATGTATATGATAACTAAATATATGGTAATAATCCTATATAAGGTTATAATTTATTATACAATATGGTAAATGTTTTCCGGCACCACAGCTTCATTGGCTTTCGATGCTCCTTCATCTTAAATAAAAAGTAAAAATAAAAATAAAACATGGGAAAAAAATTAAAAATTATGGAATCACATTTACAATGGAAATAAAGAGGAAGAGGAAAGGCAGATCTACACATAAACCATACAGCACAAAAATGGCAAAATTGAGAATGACTCTATCCCAAAAACAACTGTTTCTTTTCTTTTCATACTGAACAAGTGGCACATCTAAATACCATTCCAAATATCAATCTCAACAACAAAATATCTACACCATCAAAAACAAAAGAATTTAAATAAATACTGACCTTTCTTCATGATGATATATGCATGGCCATAAGTATCTGCAGGTAGAGGAATGTGGGTTATAATTTATAAGCCTTGAAGTCAACATACATTGTTTGAACTACTTTACAATGAGATTTTTTTTATATATAAAAAAAAGACTTTACAGTGTCGATTAGGTTTCCCCTGAAATACACAGATGGAGTTTAATTTCATCGGTTTTCCTTTACTTTAGTTCGAGAAGCTATGCAAAAGGAGAGAAAAGATGTTGACATGATCTAATGAAAGATGACCTCCAAATTGAGCTTATGTGATTCAAGATTTTGCAGTCTAAGAGAAAGCTTGGAAAGCAGCTGACTCCCTTGACTATGAAAAGCCTTGAAGTTGACTAGTTGGAACCGTAACATTTAAGTGTAACAGAAACTCGTTAATCATAAGAAAGTTACAGTATACACTATCGTAAACTACTTTCCAAGTTAAACTCCATCTGTGTATTTCAGGATAGAATGAACGTATGCCAAAGCAGAAAGTGTATCATGTTTAATAGGTCCAAAAAGTTACAGTATACCCTAACTTTCTTCGGGGGTGGGAACAGTAAATACTTACACTCAAATGAACTTGTCAAGTACTCCCACACGGGACAAAAACCGTTGCACGGTTGCACCTGAGAGATGCTGTCGGGAAACACCGCCGTAAGGCACTTGTCCGCAAAATATGTATCAACTTTGATTCCTTTTTCAAGTTAAAAAATGAAAAAACCAAGAAAAAAAAATGTTAAGATTTGAATTTTTTTAAAAACAATTGATAACGAACTTGATTTAACATTACATACCGCAAAGTAGCAGCTGCCTATAAGATGCGCAATTGCATTTCTCATATACCTAAGGTTAAATCGAATACGCCATCACTAGCGGTGTCTTTACAGGATAAAAGAACACCTTAGACAGTTCAGTATTAGGGGAAACACACCTTCGCCATTCCCTTTCACTGTTATTTTGAAACTATGAAATTGTTTCGCAAGACGTGAATAGCAACTCAGTGATGTTATGCTGTCAACAAGCCTAGTTATGAAATAAGTCCCATCTACATGACTTAGTAATGTTGAATGTTTTGTTAAAAGATAATGGCTTTTGCTGAAAACAAGCCAAAATTTAGAAAATTAACCGATAGTATTAGGAAAAAAAGAGATAAGTGTGTAAAAACAAAGAAATTCTAAACCTTAAGAGATAATGGCTTTTGCTGAAAACAAGCCAAAATTTAGAAAATTAACAGATAGTATTAGGAAAAAAAGAGATAAGTGTGTAAAAACAAAGAAATTCTAGACCTTAAGCGACCCCACTTCAGTATGTCAAGGAATTCGACAATATCAGACGGTGCATCCTTCTTTGGAGGGAACAGTTTCAATTCGATCCATTCAGAAAATTTGAGATAGTCTACAGAAACCTGGAGTCCTCCACTCCTTTCTCAAGCTCTGCCAACAATCTTGGGATATGTTTGACAACGTAAATGTTTTTCCACTTTCCACTAGTGTGGAATCCCAGATCGTGTAGATGTGTCAGGGCAAACAATATGCCTATGATTCAATAACACAAGAACAGTTAAAAAGTAGATGCAAAACTCAAAAAAAAAAAATTTAATTTTTTATCTTATTGCATGGCTTGCTTTGCCAGTAAGTAGGTGCCTATGGGGCCATCGGGTAAAATGGCCAAAAACATAACTTCATACTTTTTGGCCCACTTGTCAATGGTAGTCGCGTAGAGATCAAAAAATACCAAATCTCTTTTGAGATCAAATCCTCAATACTCAACTATGTTATGGTGTTTCACTCCCTCAGCAACATGGTAGTCGCTCTAAAGTGAAGTTTTCCATTAGCTCTATAACGTAATAGTGTATTGATCCAGGATCCAAAATAGCCTCCTCATAGTCAGCTTTCCCACCTTTCTTAGTTATTGTATAACAAAAAAAAATAAATAAACATGATGGTGAATTGAAATTTAATATGACATACACTTGTTATAATAATGTGATACTTAACTGTGATACCCCCTAATTTTGGAACACGGATTGATCAAGTCCGCGCACAAAATCAAGGGATATCAAAACAATTTAAGTATTTAACAAGCACAGAATACAAAGATGAATAATAAAGAATAAATAAACCGCTGAAGAAAACTAATAAATAAATATTACTTAATGATTCTCCAACAATTACAATTCGGAAATCCCATAACTCAAGGACCCCTTAAAACATTATCCAATAATCCAATACTATTTAAAAGTACACAAGATGAATAGACGAATGACAGTCTCCCAGCTGCGGATCCTCAACCTCGAGACTGGAACCTCTAATAACCTGAAAAATAAATCGTGGGTTAAACCCTACGAGCAAGTTCACTCTACCAGGCCTCTGAAAACCAATAAGCAGATCATCTCTGATCAAAACCAAACCTAATAAAGTTTTAACTTTAATAAAGCACGATATACATGTCTATATATAATTATATATACTATACTAATCACATCCATTAATAGGTTTATTAAATTTCCATACCTATTAAATAATTATTAAAATAATATTCATACCTAGACCAATCTACCATTTCATTTTATAAAAACTCCTTTGACCTTAATCCCATCCTAGTCAGTTGTTTAATCATTTAAACAACAAATTATAATAAAAGAAATACTATATTTAATCCCAACCCGATAATGATTTTAATTGTTTAAATCACATATCCAAAATCCAAGTTTTGACAAATCATCCACGTCTTCCCCAATATTATTTTATTAATGTAAAATAATACACTAACCAGTAAGTACTAAACTATTCTCATTTAAGAATATCTAACCCTAATCTAATCCATACATACAACAACCATAGATGATATTTTAATCATCTAACACATAACAACGTAATTATGCTTTGGCAAATCAACCATGCCATTGTAAATATTTTTATTTATATATTGGCAATTCAACCATGCCTCCATAAGTATATTTATTTATACATTGGCAATTCAACCATGCCTCCGTGTATGTATATTTATACATTGGCAATTCAATCATGCCTCCACAGGTATATTTATTCATACATTTAATTAGCAATTCATCCATGCTTTCCATATATGTATTATATTCATACAAATATTTAGGTAATATATTTAATCATTTGACAATTCATCCATGCCCACACTTTAACCATGAATTAACTTTAAAATTAACAATACGCTAAATCATACATAGCCATCACATGCATATTATACGCATATCATTAATTTAACAACCAGCCTATTAAGATATGCCAAATAAGAATGATAATATTAATCATCTTAAATGATTTATATATATATATATACCTACACATATGTTATTTAATGTATATATGTGTTTAACACCTTCTTTAATAATCCTTGATTATTTAAAATCAATATACATACATACATACATACATATATATATATATATATATATATATATATATATATATATTCATCCTTCCATACAACTCATAGACAAATTAAACTATATATACCCATATATAAATAATTATATATATATACACTCCCTTCCATAACAAATTATTAATTTATTATATTTACACAAATTAGTGCAACTAAATATGTTAGAAATAGTTTCCTTTAAATACTCCATACCGGTTTAAATAGTTTTCCGACACCGTCTCACTAAAACGTAAATATCTCTTATTAGGATAAGAATCTGATAATGAAATTGGTACCATTGGAAAGAGGACGAAAAATCCTTGAATTTGAGCTCAAGAATGACCCAATTTCGATTTAAGATGACTAAGCTATGACCATTTTAATTTTATGTCACAAACAGACAAAATAATTGGCTAAGCTCAAACACTACTGTGAGCGCGCCCACACTTAATTAGCTCACTTGAGCTCACACAAACGCACCCACACCAGATTAGCTCACTTGAGCTCACATGTATGCACCCACACCAGATCAATCTTCTGTTGACCAAACTTAATCCATGGTCCAGATTCACATGCGCACTCTTTTATGTACACCGTAATGCACCGAATCATTCCACTTATATTTAAACTATTCCAATGGCCTAGATCAGTGATGTAACCTTTTACTATGCATTCTACCACACTAGATCATACCTCGAATCACCCATCTCCTGGTTTATGCGCCGATTCACACAGAGTGCATAGAATTAATTCAAAATTTAATAAAAATAATTCTAAAATAAATTCCATAATATAAAAAATTACAGAACAAATTCTAAAAATATTCTGAAAAGTACAGAAAAATTCCAGAAAATATAAAAACCAAAATTAATCCCCTTAGGTCACAGTTCCACCTATACATTGATTTTAATATATATATCCAACATCTACATATACAAATAAAATCTAATAATCCAAAATTAAAAATATATAATAATTCATACTTTTAAATAATCATATCTAAACACAATTTAATAAAATAAATTAACTTGATGCTTTTAATTAATCCAAATTAATAATTTAATTAGAGCCTTAATACTTAAGATGAAATCCTTATAGGTTCTAAGAGGAAAAATAGAGAAAACTCGCCTGAAGGTTTCGAAACGAAACCGACGCTTCAAGCTTTAATTATCTCTTCCAATTCCGACGTCCTCCTTTTCAGATCCGACCTCCTCCTTGTCAGCCCTTCTTCTTCCTCTCTCTCTGTCTATTTTATTTTTCTAACGTGTAAAACCTTTAACCCTAAAGCTTTATGTGTATTTTTATACACCTTAAATTCCAAATCCTATTCCAACTAGTATTATGAATTAAAATAATAACCTTTAAATAATTTATATCTATAAACATATATTATATGTAAATATATATTCCTTCCTTAATTAACTCATTAGTTAATTAAATCATATATACTTATAAATATCAATAAATATATATCTATATATATATCTTTCCATAACAATTATTAATTAATTATATTTATATATAATTATATATATATATATATATATAATTGATACAAAAGTGATCATTTAAATAATTAAATAACCACGGACCTTCATTAATTAACCCAATAAGGTTTCATACAAGCCCAAGACCACATCTTTTGGTCCAACTTTCCTTAAGCCCAATCCAATTAATTTAAATAAATAAGATAATTAATTAAATACAGAAATTAAAATAACTAATTACATGAAGCACATAAACAAACAAGAATTTACAACTAAGTCATATAATACCAATAAAATCAACACACCAATAATTCAATCAATAATCAACCACACAAACAATCAATCATCATACATAATCACGAAATATAACTTAATTAAAATAAGATAATTAATCTAGCACTCAATAAAATAAAATAAATCATTGAAAAATAAAATAAAATAATTAATCCTAATTAATAAATCTTTTAAAATTATCGGGGTATTACATTCTTCCCCCCTAACAAACGGAATTCCGTCCTCGGAATTCACAAATCCATGAAATAAAAACTTTGATTATTTAATTTCAAATTTCATTATTCCTTTTATCCGTGTGGAAATTAACCCATCCACACATATTCATTATTAGCAGACACATCACGTAATTAGCTAATTCCATATTTATATAATTGATAAATATAAGTACACACTAGAGACTCTCACTGGACTAAAGCAGTTTCAACCGGATAGTGGGTATCTCATGTAAAACGCACACAAAGGTGGTTACGAATCCTCCTTCTACCAGAGCCCACACATCCTTAAACCCAGCTACCCATCTCAATCGGCAATATACGCCTCCATCCTAACCACTGATCCTGAGACTCAAGCTTATATCATGGCCCATATATGTGTGTGTGTGTGTGTGTATATATATATATATATATATATATATATATATAATCCATTATATCCACATAAAAGTAAACTATCCAACCATATTATTTCAATGGCATACCATCCAACTATTCCGTTGACCTGACACAAATAAGTAGGACTTAACGCTATGGTTAATCCGTTCCCTTATAAATATATAGGTAGGACTTAACTTCTTTGGTTAATCCGTCCCTGAAATGCCACCGTCCCATACCGGTGTATTAAACCATACAATCCATAAATAAATAGGTAGGACTTAACTATTCCGTTAATCCGTCCCTAAAATACCTCCATATTATTTTATTGGTGCATAAATCCATAAAACCCATACTGCAAAATTAGGAGAAGACTCAACGATTTACCAATACCTTTTAAATCGGTGTCTTATCATTTTCCTGATAAGACTCAATGATTTACCATTAGGATACACTAACGGACCGAATATAGAATACAATGAATCCTAAACTTAAGCTCTAAGTAAAAGAGTACACAACGCGGAAGTCACACAACGAAAGACACCCTAGGGACACTTGAACCTGGAGTGCTCTGATACCAACTGTGATACCCCCTAATTTTGGAACACGGATTGATCAAGTCCGCGCACAAAATCAAGGGATATCAAAACAATTTAAGTATTTAACAAGCACAGAATACAAAGATGAATAATAAAGAATAAATAAACCGCTGAAGAAAACTAATAAATAAATATTACTTAATGATTCTCCAACAATTACAATTCGAAAATCCCATAACTCAAGGACCCCTTAAAACATTATCCAATAATCCAATACTATTTAAAAGTACACAAGATGAATAGACGAATGACAGTCTCCCAGCTGCGGATCCTCAACCTCGAGACTGGAACCTCTAATAACCTGAAAAATAAATCGTGGGTTAAACCCTACGAGCAAGTTCACTCTACCAGGCCTCTGAAAACCAATAAGCAGATCATCTCTGATCAAAACCAAACCTAATAAAGTTTTAACTTTAATAAAGCACGATATACATGTCTATATATAATTATATATACTATACTAATCACATCCATTAATAGGTTTATTAAATTTCCATACCTATTAAATAATTATTAAAATAATATTCATACCTAGACCAATCTACCATTTCATTTTATAAAAACTCCTTTGACCTTAATCCCATCCTAGTCAGTTGTTTAATCATTTAAACAACAAATTATAATAAAAGAAATACTATATTTAATCCCAACCCGATAATGATTTTAATTGTTTAAATCACATATCCAAAATCCAAGTTTTGACAAATCATCCACGTCTTCCCCAATATTATTTTATTAATGTAAAATAATACACTAACCAGTAAGTACTAAACTATTCTCATTTAAGAATATCTAACCCTAATCTAATCCATACATACAACAACCATAGATGATATTTTAATCATCTAACACATAACAACGTAATTATGCTTTGGCAAATCAACCATGCCATTGTAAATATTTTTATTTATATATTGGCAATTCAACCATGCCTCCATAAGTATATTTATTTATACATTGGCAATTCAACCATGCCTCCGTGTATGTATATTTATACATTGGCAATTCAACCATGCCTCCACAGGTATATTTATTCATACATTTAATTAGCAATTCATCCATGCTTTCCATATATGTATTATATTCATACAAATATTTAGGTAATATATTTAATCATTTGACAATTCATCCATGCCCACACTTTAACCATGAATTAACTTTAAAATTAACAATACGCTAAATCATACATAGCCATCACATGCATATTATACGCATATCATTAATTTAACAACCAGCCTATTAAGATATGCCAAATAAGAATGATAATATTAATCATCTTAAATGATTTATATATATATATATATACCTACACATATGTTATTTAATGTATATATGTGTTTAACACCTTCTTTAATAATCCTTGATTATTTAAAATCAATATACATACATACATACATATATATATATATATATATATATATATATATATATTCATCCTTCCATACAACTCATAGACAAATTAAACTATATATACCCATATATAAATAATTATATATATATACACTCCCTTCCATAACAAATTATTAATTTATTATATTTACACAAATTAGTGCAACTAAATATGTTAGAAATAGTTTCCTTTAAATACTCCATACCGGTTTAAATAGTTTTCCGACACCGTCTCACTAAAACGTAAATATCTCTTATTAGGATAAGAATCTGATAATGAAATTGGTACCATTGGAAAGAGGACGAAAAATCCTTGAATTTGAGCTCAAGAATGACCCAATTTCGATTTAAGATGACTAAGCTATGACCATTTTAATTTTATGTCACAAACAGACAAAATAATTGGCTAAGCTCAAACACTACTGTGAGCGCGCCCACACTTAATTAGCTCACTTGAGCTCACACAAACGCACCCACACCAGATTAGCTCACTTGAGCTCACATGTATGCACCCACACCAGATCAATCTTCTGTTGACCAAACTTAATCCATGGTCCAGATTCACATGCGCACTCTTTTATGTACACCGTAATGCACCGAATCATTCCACTTATATTTAAACTATTCCAATGGCCTAGATCAGTGATGTAACCTTTTACTATGCATTCTACCACACTAGATCATACCTCGAATCACCCATCTCCTGGTTTATGCGCCGATTCACACAGAGTGCATAGAATTAATTCAAAATTTAATAAAAATAATTCTAAAATAAATTCCATAATATAAAAAATTACAGAACAAATTCTAAAAATATTCTGAAAAGTACAGAAAAATTCCAGAAAATATAAAAACCAAAATTAATCCCCTTAGGTCACAGTTCCACCTATACATTGATTTTAATATATATATCCAACATCTACATATACAAATAAAATCTAATAATCCAAAATTAAAAATATATAATAATTCATACTTTTAAATAATCATATCTAAACACAATTTAATAAAATAAATTAACTTGATGCTTTTAATTAATCCAAATTAATAATTTAATTAGAGCCTTAATACTTAAGATGAAATCCTTATAGGTTCTAAGAGGAAAAATAGAGAAAACTCGCCTGAAGGTTTCGAAACGAAACCGACGCTTCAAGCTTTAATTATCTCTTCCAATTCCGACGTCCTCCTTTTCAGATCCGACCTCCTCCTTGTCAGCCCTTCTTCTTCCTCTCTCTCTGTCTATTTTATTTTTCTAACGTGTAAAACCTTTAACCCTAAAGCTTTATGTGTATTTTTATACACCTTAAATTCCAAATCCTATTCCAACTAGTATTATGAATTAAAATAATAACCTTTAAATAATTTATATCTATAAACATATATTATATGTAAATATATATTCCTTCCTTAATTAACTCATTAGTTAATTAAATCATATATACTTATAAATATCAATAAATATATATCTATATATATATCTTTCCATAACAATTATTAATTAATTATATTTATATATAATTATATATATATATATATATATATATATATAATTGATACAAAAGTGATCATTTAAATAATTAAATAACCACGGACCTTCATTAATTAACCCAATAAGGTTTCATACAAGCCCAAGACCACATCTTTTGGTCCAACTTTCCTTAAGCCCAATCCAATTAATTTAAATAAATAAGATAATTAATTAAATACAGAAATTAAAATAACTAATTACATGAAGCACATAAACAAACAAGAATTTACAACTAAGTCATATAATACTAATAAAATCAACACACCAATAATTCAATCAATAATCAACCACACAAACAATCAATCATCATACATAATCACGAAATATAACTTAATTAAAATAAGATAATTAATCTAGCACTCAATAAAATAAAATAAATCATTGAAAAATAAAATAAAATAATTAATCCTAATTAATAAATCTTTTAAAATTATCGGGGTATTACATTAACTTTGATCTACTTGACCTAACAAAAAAAAAATTAATTAACAAGAAGTAACAAAAAATTTAATGACATACAATAGATCACACACTAAAAGCAACAAAAAAAATCAAATTGAAACTAACTATTTACACTAATTGAAATACAAAGTACCACTGCCAAGACAAAAAACTATGAGAAAGGGTCACCGTGACCACTGTGACAAGGTGTCACTGTCACTGCTATCCTCATCAACCACCAGCACTTTATCATCAATCACTTGGGCTCACTAACAAGTGACAGTTCATGTCCACCAGCACCAGCACTAGCACTGCAGTCCACACAGCAACCGCCCAAACCACTTGAACCATTAGTGTTCACTAACAAAGTCACTGTTCATATGTACACCAAACCAGGTCATCAATTGTCTACTACCTGAGTCGCACAAACCACCAGCGACTCCCACTCACGTAACATTAATCACCAATGTGACCTCGTCCACTTAATCCTTCATAACCAATGCCAATCCCTTAAACTTGACCACCACAATTGCCAAGCCACATTGCATTTTAGCATATTAGTGCCACTTACAGTTTGGCTAGAAAAATGCTGCTTCGATTAGCCTTTTTACCAATTACAGTACCGAAACAAAGAAACATGACACTAAATGCGCAAAAAACCAACAGGTCATAAATTCAACAATCACCAAATTATCCTTTTAAATTTTAACAAGTTCCATACCAAGATTTGAAAAAGATCCTGTGATTCGGATAGTAAAGAATATACAAGCCATAAGCAATTTTAGATATCAAATCCTCTATACCAACAACCAATTCTGTAAATAATTTGTCACTTCAAGATGAGTATAAGCTTCACACCATTCACAATTCAAATACGGGACATAAGAAGAAACATAAGCTTGTATCATGGAATTTGACATCTCAGCTATATCTAACATTGAAAACATCAAATTAAAATAAGAATGATGGAATTTGACAGTCACGTGATGGTGGTGACTGTTTATATGTATATGTATATATGTATGATATACGTAATATCATGTTAGATTAGCAAAGTATGTTATAAATATATAATATTAATTATTATCTCTGTCTATAACTTTGAGTGCATCAGAGCTTTCCATTTTACTGTTGTACACTTCCTAGATCCGATGCATGAAACAAGCCAAAAGTTCACAACCCTATCGTTGCACAATTGTCATACACTTTTGTGCCCCTAACCATATATCACTCTCTCTACAAGTCCATATCGATAGAAATCTCCCATGCCAATATTAGTCAAGATACTCAGAGAGCTTATTTTGTCCTAAGTTGGATAATTCTTATTGGTGGACTCTCTCTTCTTTGCTGTTTCAGTTTCAACATTTCAGAAACTCTACCAATGCTCAAACTGATAAAATTAAATTAAAATTGCATATAATCTACTTTTTCTTTTTCACAGATAAAATTAGGGTTTAGAGAGATGAAAAAAAAAAAAGCCCAAGTAGATGAATCATATTACACACCATTGTTTCAGAATTTGAGGAACTGAAAAATCATGTGTACAATGACCAAATATTCTTGTAACTAAAAGAATTAGACACTATGCTCAATAGTATGTCTTCAACTCTAAATTTCCTTCAATTCTAAGTGCTTTGACTTAATTTGAGTGCATCAACATATTATCAACATCATCAGTCGTCATCGCTAGAGTCAACGTTGATATCAACATCCTCATAACGTTGACACTAACATCCTCATCTAGAATCGTCATCTAGAATCACGTAATCCTCTTGCATAGATATACATTTGATTAAAATAAACTGAAAAGAGACTTCCTATCATAATTGGTCATTTTAAAACCAACATCACTACTACAACGGTAAGGGGATTTAAATAATTCAATTAGCTAGGCAAAAAAAAACATACCTATTTTATTTTTGCCCACTCCACCCATTCCCATCAACTCCCTTCTTTCAGAAAAGAGACCTATATTATTAGGACAAAAGAAGAAAAGTTTTAAAAGCGTTAATTAACTTGTAAAACATATAAATGAAATTGAAAACTAAACTTCCAAGTCTTTAATTCCCATTAATAAATTGTTCAAGCATCACATCATAACAATATTATATATATGTATGTAGAAACAAAAACAAAAACAAAAAATCAATATGTAAAACATGAATAACTAAACATAACCAATGGCTAAAAATGCCAATTAAAATTTTAGAAAAAATAAAAGTTTGTTACCTGATGACTGAGAAGGCATGTTTCTTGAACCTTGTTCTTACTAAATGTTAAAGCCCGATGCTAACCCTAAAAATAAGAAAACACTCAAGTTGTGAGGAAGAGATTTCACAATCTCACTCATAACAATAAAAACACCACCATCTAAGTGCTAGTTGTATCGTGTATCAACCCAACCCAACTATGCTTGTAGTCAAAATGTTGGACACCTATCCATAGAAATAGGTGTGATTACGGATAGGTGTGATTACGGATAGATGTGATTAGCACATATTATACTCAGCTCTTACGTTAAATTAATCCAATAACAAAGTACAATGCATCAATTTAGGAATAATCTTCAAAATTAACAAATTAATATCCTGATATTCTGCATTCTAATAACAAAAGAAAATCAAAAAGCAAAATTTGAAAATAAAAATACGACAGAAAGATTGAATATATCCTTTGTGCATTACACAGATTGTATTTCTACGTGAAACAAAACATCCAGGATTTCTCAATGGGGTGGGCTAAATCAAAATATATCAACCAAAATCAACTGTTGTTTAATTCAATTTTAGTTAACTAACAATGTTTCTTTAGACAATTGACTGATTAAGGCATAGAAAATCCTATTTGGGTAATTAATAAATAAAAAAAAAAAATTACCAATTTATTTCTAAACAATTCACCATTCAGTACCCTATCTCTTCTTTTGACCAATTTACTAATCCTATTTGAGAATCTACTAGTGGAAGCAGAGTGTGAGGTAGTTCATGGCAAGCCCCTTCCAACACTATGGAATTCACTCAAAAGCATGCTTTTTGTAAGTATTTTAATTTTCAAGAAGTAACTTTAGAGCTTTACCCTATATTAAGTATTTTTGCTTGTCAAAGTTCTTGTTATTATTATTTTTTTTTAAGTTCTGAAAAGATTTCCATCTTCAACAAGTTTGGCATGTTGATAAAAATTGTTTCAGATTCAATCTCTGCAGATTTCTAATCCAATTCAGATTCTTCTTTTTTTCTTTTTTTATGCCCAGATTCAAATTTTCTTGTAGATATCATTGACAAAAAATAAAAATAATAAAATAAAATAAAATAAAACAGAAATAGAAGTTATAGAAATAAATAAAAAAATTATTTGTTTTGCTGAAATAAAATGTAGATTACGGTGATTACCTCAAAATGCAATGCAAATTTTGTTACTTTATATTGTAAAAAAAAAAAAATTATTTAAAAAAAATCATAAATAATTTCACCAAATATGATTTAGTTTGCAGAACAAGAATTACAGACCTTGATTAGTTGATTTAGAAAAAAAAAATTAAAACAAAACCCATACATACAAGTTAGCCGTTGCACAGAGAGAGAGAGAGAGAGAGAGGGCAAGCTTGAGAGTTGAGAGACAGCGGGCCAGCGGCTGAAGCTTGCGAACGGTGAACCCGAACTGGAACAGCGGGCGATGGAAACTGAAAGATATGGGTTTTGATTTTTTGAACAATCTGAAATGATATGCCGATATGGGTTTTGAACTTTTGATTCTTGCAAACTGAAATATATGGGTTTTGAACTTCTGATTCTTGTAGATTTTGTAGTTTGCAGTTGTGGAGAGAGAGAGAGAGGGGGGGAGGGGGGGGGGGGGGCCAGTTCAGAGTTGAGAACGAGAATAGAGATGGTGGAGGCCATTGGGGAGGCTGAAATGATTTGCCCTAAAAACAACCAGTCGGGTCAAATTCCCCAGTCAAAAAGGTACTGAAATTGCAGAATTTGGCTTATTTGAATCTGACAGAGTGATAATAATGATATTCACTATTTGTTGTTTTCAAACTCACAAGAGAATATAGATGTTGCCCTTAAAATATTTTGTTTTTTTGTGACCCATCATCCATGGGCCTATAAATTTTGAAGTAGGCGACCCCCTTTACCGTCTTGGGTCAGGACCGACCCCGGGCTTTTTTGGCTTGGGCCGTTATTTTTTTCTTCAAGGCTTCTTCAATCATAAACCTATCCATAACCTGAAGTCCACCCAGCTGATCAAGAATTGATTAGTATCTTGGCCCTTTTTTATCAAGTTAACTGCAAAATAGGATTTGAGTTAAAAATAAAGTCGTTACATATTATATACACACACACATATATATATAGAGAGGGGGGGGAGGGGGGGACCCCCTTTACCGTCTTGGGTCAGGACCGACCCCGGGCTTTTTTGGCTTGGGCCTTTATTTTTTCCTTCAAGGCTTCTTCAATCATAAACCTTTCCAAAACCTGAAGTCCACCCAGCTGATCAAGAATTGATTAGTACCTTGGCCTTTTTTTATCAAGTTAACTGCAAAATAGGATTTGAGTTAAAAATAAAGTCGTTACATATTATACACACACACACACACATATATAGGGGGGGGGGGGGGGGGTGGGGGGGGAGGGAGAGGGAGAGCTTAAAAGCTTAAAAAACATTTTGGAAAATTATTTTAAGGCCGAACTCTTAAAAGTGATTTTACTGACTAAAATTTTGATTAGTTGCAAAATATAAGAAAATGGGACCTACGGTCCCTACCCCCTTCTTTATACATTGCAAACATGACTAATCAAAATTATTTTGTATGTCAGGCAATTCACTTTTATTCTTCGGCTAAGTAAGAAGGCTCAAACATTTTAGATAGAATACATCATTAGCACTGCTAAGTAAGAAGGCTTAAACATTTTAGATAGAATACATCATTACCAACTGCTATCATTCATTAAAATAAAAATAAAAAATAAAAACAAACATACCATTTTTCTTCCTACAACAAATTTATGATTTTAAAAATCATATCTAAAATGACTCATTTTTCTGAAAAGGTCTAAAATCCCTTTAGACTAGCATACAGACATAACTGCCAGCCCTTGATACCTTGCCATTTGGATCAGAGCAATCTCTAAAAAAAAGTATATATAAACACATACCTGCTAAAGAGATGATTCAATCATAAAACTGTTTATACAAACCACTTTCTTCTGGCTTCCACAGGGCTGCAATTTGGACAAAAATCTAGAAAATGAGCCAAGAGCGCCACCACGGACCATCTGTAGAAAATAACACATTTCTATTACATTTTACTTCAAAAGAGTTAGCTCCAAGAGTTACGAGTTTATACAATGAATGTTACAACTTAATCAATGTCTGTCTGTAAAATATTATCAGAGATGTTAGTATGACTGACCAGTTTATAACAATATTAATGATGATAGTGATGGACTAGCTAGATAGCTTTCATTTTAGTATAATATGAAGGAACAACAATGTAGGATATGAAATGTTAATTGTGTATGTGACATTTGAATGAAACCATAGTTTTAAACAAACAAACAAAAAAGTACCTTCAGAGGAAGAGTTTATTCTATTTATTCTATTGTAAGGTACCATGACCTCCAATTTGACAATAGATTGATTGGCCACAAAGAATGCAGTTGAGTCCACCACCTTTTCAGTTGATCTGCTACCTCTTCCATACCAAAATTTTCAGTAATATTGTCAATTTGATCCAAATCATGGTCAACTTTTAGCTGGTACCGACACACTGGACATGTATTGTGGATGCTCAACCAAGGAAGGATGCAATCAGGGTGATAAAAATGTTTGCAAGGCAGCTCTCTCACTTCCACACCAACCTCAAACTCATCCTTGCAGAAAGGACAGCAGGAGTCACAGCTCAAATGTCCCGGTGTGAGTATCACCGTAGGCAAGGCCTCAATGGCTGAAACCGGTGCAGGAGGTGGCCCCAACCTATCATTCTGTGTCAGCTTCTGAATCAACTCTTCAATCCCATTACCGGGACAGACTTCCATTGAGTCCATGGCCTCAAAAACCGCACTTTCAGGTGGAGAGAGTGCTCATGGGGGACGAATAGGGAGTGCCAAATGGAGGACTATCCAGGCTTCCCGAGCACGCCAGTTTTCAACACTAGTTTTGCTTGTTATTAAGGGGTCAAGCATTGCAGCCATGGCATCCAGTAACCGCGATGCAGGGGATGGTTCGAGGCCCCTCAAGAGCATTGGCCTTGACATGTCGAGCTCAGAGCCGAGTAGACCTAAACAATAGGGATATAAAGTTTTAGATGGGTTGGTTGAGGCCGGCTATCCTGACAGTTCTTTGGCATTGCCTACACCAATAGTACTGGTGAGTTCTCATTCTCTGGACCGATTGATCAGAGACATGGCTGTGGAGGTTGAAAGTGGAGTGGGTTTTTGGAGATTGATTTAAGGTTATTATTATTTTTAAATAATAAATAAAAATTTACTATACTAATTTTAGACCAGCCCAAAAAAATAATAATAATAAAAATAAAAATTAAAAATTAATAATATTAGCCCACCTCAGCCTCCCACCCAAACATGAAATGTATTAAAACAGCGATGCGTAACAGGATTAGAGATGAATTTATTGCTGACTATGTGACATCAATCTTGAACGAAAGCTTGTTTGGAAAATTGATTTGAAATCTATTATTGACGAATTTGAGTTTTTAAAGACTCGTCGAGCACAATTTAGATGGATATTTTATAATTTTTGAATTTAAATATTTATTTTTATTTTTATTTTATTTTATTTTTTTGCTTAAGAAATTTTATTATTAAATTTATATTTAATATTAGTCCACCCCAACGGAAATCCTGAATCCACCCTGGGTGGAAAAGGAAAGAAACTGATGGAAGGTTTTATGTGTATGGGTTTGTGAATAGAAGAAAGGAAGGTATGGCTTTTTGGAGTCGTACACAGAGATCTATCTTTCTAGCAAATTGTTGCCTGACTTGTTGGTTTCTTTCCTGTCTCCTTTTAACAAAGAAAATGATGAGTGAGAGATGATGCAAAGTTATGTTATAAAGGTAGCAACGCAGGTTTAGAAGTTTTAATTGAACTGTGTGTCACTTTTCTGTCTATATCCCAATTTTCTGAATATTACAAATTTAGAAAATAAAATCTTCACTAGGGTTGCAAACAAATTGGAACTATTAGCATTCCTTTGTTAAACTGAATAACTCATAGCTTCGTTCCTTGAGCTAGTGAAAAAATGTTCATTGGTCGAAATTCATAACTTAAACCAG